ACTTATAGGAATAAATTAAATGTTGCCCTTACAAAAGTTTGATTTTAACATAAACCTGTATGAAAGGCGTGCAAGTCAGATGGCTTCTAACAAAAGAAAGATGGATGAAGACCAAATTGAGCACACGACGGGCCATCCATATCTTTGCGCAGAAAATAGTGAAAGAAACCTTAGGCGATGTATCGCATATAGGGAAATGCTACCTGGAAAAAAAGGCAGCACTGCTAGAGCGACGTCGGACTGAATATGCTACGAGAAAGCGACATCTCTCTGAAAGTTCTGCTGCCAACCATTCTGATCAAACTCATTCTTCTTCCAAATCTCAAAGAATGATTCCAGGACAATCTGCTACCTTCATCAGAGACATACCTTCTTCTTTCTGAAATGGTTGGTTGAATTGAACTTTAATAATCCATTAACTTCCGGCATTTCAGGCTATACTTAGATAGTTGATATATTTTGAGGTACTGCCTGTATATTGCAGGCTAAACATCATGAACATATACTGAACATTTAACTTAGTCCAATCACGTTCACATCAACATTAATTATGCTATCGATTTAGGCTTATGACAATGAAGGTGATATAACAAAATGGCCTTTTCATAAAAACTTGACAGGTCAGTTATTCCTAAATTGATGAGCATTCTAAAAATTAATCCATACTCTATGTTTCTCAAATCTTTGACAGACATTCCAGATTTATCTAACTTCCACATCTCACTTAAATGTGATTCTACGTTGGACAAACGAACATATAATTTACCTAGCGTCTCAGAAGTCTCTGCTATATGGGTTGACGAAAAATTAGAATGTTCTATATCCACACGTCATATTCGTGTCTATACCCATACTAACAGTAACCAACTAGTTCACTATTACTATGGCTGCTATGACCCATTACAATATCTTTTGTTGTTTCCCTACAGCGAAAATGGATGGCATTGCGGCATCCAAAAGGTTCAACAAAAATCTAGCTCTCCTAGGCCTCGTGCTTCCTGCAAACATGAGTAACTTCCAAGTGTAACTAACATGTGTTTAATTGATGGACTTCTTAACATCGAACAAGAAATCTTGCAAAAAGAAAGGAAGAAAAAAAATAATGTTTCCTGCCGAGAATATTACTGCTACAAACTTCAAATTAGAGATGATGAAGAAAATGGAACTTTATATTTTGGAAGATTATTCCAACAATATATAAAATTCAAAACACAGAGATTAGACTTCTTGCTATTTAATCAAGATCTGTTTCGGACTCTAATAACTGTTATTTTTTTTTTCGTGGTCCAACTTACTGCCCACTTATTCTTTTTTTGTACGTGAAAATATTTGCAGGTTAACCAACTCTATTTTGCAAGCAGTTTTGGCTTTCATGGAACAAAGGTAATTAAATACTACAACATATTTAGTGTTATCACCTGAAGGTTCCACAAATTTCTTTGAAGTATTTTTGGTTCCAGATTGTTATCTTGGTTGCATGAGAAGTGATTTAATGATTGTTCTTTTCAAAGAAATAGAAGAAAACCTCCTCAGAGATAATTAGTATAGTCTGATTTCATGCCAACTCGTACGCATTGTGCACAAAATAGAAATAACCAAGTTAATCATACATAGAAATTTTAGCAACTTGTGTAAGTGTGGTAGTTTTCTAAAAATCCTAATTGACTCCATCACATGTCAATTTATAACAGTGACAACTATGTCCCTCTGACCGTAGGCATGAAACAAAGGTAATCACAATTACCTCTTGACTTTATTCTTCACTTGCATCTCTTTCAAGAATAATAATTGTTTTACTGCAAGTTTGAGCAATGCTTCTTTGACAGGACAATGTCTTCTTCGGCCAGCTGAGTTGCCAGTCCTCTATGTTACTCTAACTACTGATCGGCCTATTATCTTTGGAATGCCTTAATCAGGAAGCTCTTGTTACCATTTTAGTTTCTTGAGTGTTAATTTGTTCGTGCGTGTTCATATAGATAAATACCTTAGCAATAAGGTTTTAATTGTCTTGAGTATTATCTTGATTCAAAGAGTTCATATAATGCACACTTTAAGACAATTTCTATTTTCATAATATGCAAGTACTATGTGTAACTTCAATGCCTGAGTTATTCCTTTAGAGCTTTTAATAGTGTATTTCTGGATTCCCTTTCTTTGTCTCTCAAAGTTACCGTAAATACTCCATTTAAATCCCAAAACATTTCCATATTGAAAATTTAGTTTCTCATTTTAATCATTTCTCAGAATCAAGTTACTCTGAAAATAGTTGGGACATAAATTTAGGTGAACAAATAAGTTTAGTGGTAAGAACTAGCAACTTTCAGCCTCTTAGAATATTGTCTCTCAAGAGGCCGTGCTCCTCCAAGCTGAGATAATTAGATAATTGGTAATTATTTATGCTGTAAACTGCAAAAGAAATCTGGGATGCACAATTGGTGTAAAATAAAAAGATGAAATGATTGTTGCTCAGTAGACTAACCATTTAGTTTAACGTTTTACCTTTGTTCTTGATATGAGCATACATAAGGCTGTCAGATACAAAAATAATGCATTTGAAGTGCAAAAAATATTTCCCAATGCTCTAGTGGATTTGCTTATTCTTGGCGAATTACGCCTAGCTAACAAGAAATCGCAATGCGTTTTTCTCTATTAAGTGAAGTGTTAATTTACTTTGGATACCTGATATCTATTCAAGGATTGAAGAAGTATGGATATTTTCCTAAACATTGCTATTGTTAGTAAGATCTTAGATCACTTTACTGATCAACCTACTATCTTTGAAACGCCTTGATCAGTAAGCTCTAACATGCAGTCTGTTTATGTATCTGCAAAAGCAAGACTATATGGTTCTCCATAAATGTAATGTTCAGTTAGTGATGCAGATCACTTATAATAAGGTGGATATTTAGCAATATCAAGGAAATAACATCTAGAGTGTAATAGTAAAGTGGAGCGATTTGATCTTTAATATTTTTCCCCTTTATTTAATCCGAAAGCAAATATAAAAATAGAAAAGTTCTTTGTTTATCTAAATGAAATGACTCTGGCAAACTCGAAAGAGATATAAATCCTATATATCATTTCCCACCACACTTAACTTTAAAGCATAACAATTCGTAAGATCCTTTTCCTTATAAATCATTTTAGCAGAAAAACTGTTGTCCCTTGGTGCTGGCTTGGATGAAAGTTTCACGGTCAACCTTGATCTTTTCTTTCAAATGCAGTGCTAATTTAAAAATATAGTTTAGTTTGGTTGGGATTTCTAGAACATGGTGTTTCTTTGGTGCAGAGTTAGAAGTGCATAAGGTAATCAAGAACATATAACTTCTTTTTTTAAAGAACAACAGCAACTTTAGACTTTTCTAATTTGTTCTCTTATGTTGAAACTTGGGCACTATATCTTTTCTCATCTTTTGTTCTATGAATTTCCAGTTTGAGCCTTAGTAGAGTTGATGATCCTGAACTATAATTCTCAAGTTTCATAAATAGTAGTTTCCATGTTTGGGATTCTAATATCATAACTTAGAAATTTCCTTGTGTCTTTACTATATAAGCCCAAGAAGCTATGCACTATGACAGTATGCCTAGCAGATTATCTCGTGTATAAATCTGGCTCCAAGGCATTGGTAAAGTAATCTGCACTACCATCATGGATGTAGCTTGGTATACTATATTCTAAGTCTAATGCTTGTTTTTTCTTCTCTTTCAGTGAATACCAAAGTGAAGCATGTGTTGACAGCTGCAGCTCTTGAAATCCATTTTATCCAATCTTTTGATAAGTGGGACATAAACTCTTTTGGTCTTTCTAGCAAGATCAAGAATGTACTTGTATAACTTTGTTCCGCAAATACATCTACATGTATGATGTACTTTATGTTAATATTAAGCACTAATGTTTAGCTTGGTGATACTGCTTTATTTTATGTTGGATCTACTGCACAACGGTATCGCACAGATGCCCGTGCAGAGCTCGGGCCCAAGCCTATTAAGTTAAAAGTATATTTATTTTATAAAAGGAGTAAATAACTTTTCATATAGAGTAACATATACTATGATTAATTGGTGGAGTTGTGACATATATCACGTTCGAGTACTCAATCTGATGATTTGTTATTTAAAATATACCTGTGCAAGTTCACAATTATTAGCTTATTGAAGAGATCTCGTGAAAGGTCTAAAATTTAGACATTTTTCACCTGCGGTATGGTCTCTCATGTACAATAAGTGTTACTCAAACTATTGACCAATAAGAAATAGAGTAATATATGTATGTTTTTGGATCTAAATAAATACGAATGTCTTTTCAGTTTTTTGCACTTCCATTTGTGTCCCTTGCTGCCTTTTTTGGCAACGAAATTATGCTTAAGACAGTAGTAATATCACCTCTTCTTTTCAGTTATAGTGGAACTTTTCAAATGAATGGCAGAGATTAAATTAGTTGTTCTAAGTAAAATAAGAAAAATTAACAAAAGGTAAACAGAGAATAATGAGGCTATATTAAACCCATCGCAATTTGCATGTTCCTCGCTTCTGATAACGTTTTAACTAATCGTTGCGGCACATGTTTTTAGTGAGACAAACTTCAGAGATGCTCTCACCATATGTACCTCAAATCACATGTGGTAGAGAGGCTTTGATCTCGTCCGGGACACTCAAATTGATTGGCATATGAGCCCTTCCCTGTTGATCCTAGACTTACACTTTCGGTATTCCGCTCCTCCATCGTGCTCTTCAAACAAACTATGGATAAATTTTGATGTTATCTATTCTCTCTGTTAAAAAAAAAGGAGCAAGGAAATAAACAGTAGCTCTGTTTCTATTTGGTCTGGTTAGTTAAATGCATCGAAAGTTGGACACCTCGTAGAAGGAAGAAAATTTATTCGAGCCAAAAATCGGATAAGATTTATTGTCGTATCTTTCAGCAGCAACTAATTACGTTAGTTACAGTACCATTTTGCTTTACTAGGTAGTAAAATATAAATGTACAAGCCAAATAATTATATGAAGTAACAATCATCAGAAGCACTTTATCAATGTATACTTCCTTTTCATCAAAGAAATCCATCTTTACAACTTAAACCTTATAGGGTAACACATGGCATTAGACCCAAAGGTTCCATTTGATTTCCTTGTCCTTCATGTTGTATACATATGTTACGCCGGGCTTTTTTTTTATTTTTCCTTTCCTACTCTAATCAGCTAAAACTGCTCCACTTCTGCTCTTGGTTTCCTGCAAACAAATAAATACACGATTGATGGACAAGACTATTAAAAGCCCCCTTATATGTAATACTAGTAAACTTGTCGCGTTTCGCGCGATTGCGAAAGATTTCATTATATTTATAAAATGAACTTTTTCCAATATTCAAATAATAAAATTGGTTATATACACTTAATTGTTTACCTTCTCATTCTCTTACACAATCTCCGATTTCATAATGTGAAGAGGTAAGATAAAGGAACTAATTACATCTATTTATTTTCTTTGCATGAAGTGTTTCCAATTTTGTTGTTTGGCACAAATGCAACAGAAATAAAAGATATAAATTTTCTAATCTTTGTCTAATTTTAATGTAATATAACAAATTGAGGTGATCATCACAGCTCTATAGTCTATGTATCCTTCATTACTTATTTCTTGCTCGTTGTTCGAAAATAATTTCTGGTTCTTCCTTTTCTTCCTTTTTATCTCTTCATTCCAACTCCTCCTTATCTATTACTTGTTCACCAAAATTTGAAGCCACGTTCTAAACTATTCTTATATAAGGAAAATCATGTTCACCCTAACACGACTAAGTTTGTTCATACAATGCATCTAAGGAGGTACATCCTGGCAGTAAGTGCAAATCTTAATCTGCTATTTAATGTGATTAACATTTCACGTATCCGACAAAAAAAAAAAAAAAAGCGACAAAGATAAAGAGATTTCATCTTCTTCTCCAGGCTATGTATCGCTAATGATTATTCAGTACACGCCTCATTTTCTTACATCGCATCTTTTACCAGAAAAGATAACTATGTATCCCACCTAAGGTATTTGTTGATAAATTGTGAACCTGTATTTAATTTGAGTAAGCACAATTTAAAACATACAACAAAAATAGACCTTCCACATATAAGTTTAATAGTCTGTAAGGTGCCTAACTGCCCGTTAATTGGAGAAACCAAAATACATGCTTGGGACGGTATTAACGACTAATAACGAACAATGAAAATTGAAAACGCTAGCTTAGTAAAATAAAGGTATAGGCATTAATCCCTATATTTAGTTTAAACTTTTTTTTCGACCAAGGAAGTGAAATTTTTCAATAGAAATGCACAGAATGTCCTAGATGACTAAAAAGTAAGGAAAGACATGGAGAAAAAAGGGAATAAGAACATAATACTCACATTTGCTAATCTCGACCCTCTCTCTAGGAGCATTACCCAAAAGCAAATATAAAGAAAATTAAGAAAAAATCACAATTACCTGTCGATTAACAAAACAAAAGGAAATATAAACGCAAACTATAAAAATAGTCATACTCTGAATGACCAACAATGATTTTATACATGTCAAAATTATTTTGTCTTTTCCAATTGAACATGTTGAATCATGGATCTGAAAGAAAAATAAAGAAAATTAAAAATCACAAAAATTTAGTCCAATAAGCACAAAGTAACGAATGAACAATACCTTCTGATTAACAACAGGAAAAAGAAAAATAGGCACACTATATGAATATTCCTACTCTTACGCTCAGTTTGGATCATTGTTCCCCGTCGTTTTATAATGTATTGTATTGTATTGTATTGTATCGTATCATTTTATGAATATAACGTTTGGATAGATTGTATTGTTTGTTATTGTTAAATAATATTTTGCTGTTTGATTTTACTGTATCGTATTGTACTGTAACTTATAAGTTTACTAAAATACCTTCAACTGTTTAAATATTAAATTTATCAAAAAATATGCATAAAAATAATTTCTAAAAACAAAACAGAAGAAGGCAAACCACCTTAAGAAAGCAGAACAAAGGAGCGAGACAGAAGAAGACAAAACAAAGGAGCACAACTAATTAGAATTAAGTTAAAAGCAAATTAGGAGAAAAATAAAAGAGAAGGCGGCCATTAACATTGGCGGCAAAAGTTTTGGAAAAATACAAAGTAGGTTATAGGTTGGAGATTTGGAGTAATAAAGGGTAAAATAGAATTGTGGAGTAATAAGTTAGGCATAATTGGAAAGAATATTAGGAAACAATCCCACCATACCAAATCGGTTGTTTCAAAAAAGGGGAATTTTCATTGTTCCGGAACAATAGATTTAACAATACGATACAACCAATTTTAATGAAACAATCAAAACAAACATTGTTTTGGAATAACAATACAATACAATACATCTGGTAACAACCATCCAAACAAGCAAAATGACTAAAGCCACTACAATTTTGAAAGGGTTAAACCTATTGTAGAGATTAAAAGGCACGACTCTTGGAAGAGGAAGAGAGAGGCTAATTAAAAAGATTAAAAGACATGACTGTTGATGTTTTTCTTTTCAAGTACATAAATGGAAAAATGAGGAAATGGGCATAATTCACATAAATTTATATAAATGAAATACAAACTTATTGATTAGCCAACTAAATCATAAGGAATAACACCTCCTCTTGTCCTTTGAACACAAATTTAAAACAACTGGAATAAGCAAAACTGACATTTAAATAAGTAACAAAAAATATATTATATATTTGTAAGTCAAGAATCATGCCTTTTATCTGGAATAAGCAAAATTGCTACGGAAATAAGTAACACAAAATATTATATAATTGTAAATATTATTCAGAATTAAGAACTTACGGTAAAACCTAAAGATGAACTCGGAGCGGCAAAATTGAAGTTCACCTTGATGTAAGCAAATTCTTTGTTGATAGTTCAGCATTAGAGTGTATGAGGGATAATGAACTTTTTCTAGCCAATTCGCATACTATATATCTGTGACCAAGCAAACAATTAGCATAGATGAAAAATGACAATCGTTTGTACTCACTGCAATCTTTTTATTAACTGATGCAAGAGAAAATAAACAACCCAAACTCAGCATATATAATAATGTAATGTAAATGCAATTTCTTTGTCAACAACAACAAAGTTTCAAATTAGCTAGAACTACCACCTAAAAAACGTGATCATGCTTTGCAATTTTTTAATCACCTTTTGGTCAAGAAACTTACTGAAAAAAATGTAACTATAAGATCTCTTAAAACAAAATCCACAATTTAGAGATTTATCAGATTTTTTATCTTGACAACCAAGCAAACAGGGAAAGCACAAATCGTCCCTTTCATAGTGCGGCCTTCTGCAGTAAAATAGACTCAACGAAGATGAAAAGGCGTAACTTTTTTTTTTTGGCAATGGAAAAGCCGTAACTCATTAAGTTAAAGAACAGAAGAAGAGGAAAAGGCGTACTGAAGAACGAAAGAAGAGGAAAAGGCACAAGGGTAATTAAGACTATTTATTGGACGTGACTTTTCCGGTTTTTTTATTAGCACATTGAAAGGAATATATGGGAAAAACTGGCAAAAATTCGAAAAAAAGGATAAGGAGGTTTGCTTGTTCAAGAGATTGCCACATCATCTTGCCTAAGTCCCTCAATTATATATATATATATATATATATATATAGATGTGAACCCCAAAGTATTGTGAATTATTAGAAGCAATATTATTGTTAGCTTATCTTATTCCTATTTAAATGTCTCTTTACTTTTTAATATTTTTATACTAGTGTTTGGTTCACTAACTGTTTTTGTTTTTGTTCGTATAACTAATGTTAATTATAATAATAGTATGCCATCTACAATAAGTATATTATGTATATATATATATATATATATATAAGTTATACCACATATATTTCCTATATATAATAATATATATAATATATATTAATATATACTTATACTTTGACCTCAATTATTGTACTTTGTAAAAAATAAAATCTGCTGTATAAAATTGTGACGACCCAAAGGGTCATCACCTGTATTCCTACTCCCTCTGTACTTCTGAAGCCCTGGAAACCTCATTTGGGTTGCCTCGAGTTGTGTGCGCAGTCCGGGCGCGTAGCCGAAAAGTTTAAATATGAAATTTGTGAGAAAAATTGTTAAAATCTTGGTATTTAATTGATTAAGTTTTGACTTCGGTCAACGTTTTGGGAAAACGGACCCGGACCCGTGATTTGACGGTCCCGGAGGGTCCGTAGGAAAATATGGGACTTGGGTGTATGCCTGGAATCAAATTCCGAGGTCCCAAGCCCGAGAAATGAATTTTTGTGTGAAATTGTTTCTGAAAATAATTAAGGAAATTGGAAATGAAATTTGATTAAAAGACTGTGGTATCGGGCTCGTATTTTGGTTCCGACGCCCGGTACAAGTCTTATATACGGCTTAAGTACTTTCTGTAAAGTTTGGTTGAATTTGGACGTCGTTTGACGTGTTTTGGACTAAAAAAAAACTCTAAACTTGATGTTTTATGAAAATTGGAAGGAAATCCTGGGTCTTGAGGCCTAATTTGATGATTATGATGTTGTTTGGGCGATTTGATCGCACGGATGAGTCCGTAAGATATTTTTTAGTTTATATGTATGTTCGGTTTGGAGCCCCGAGGGTCTCGGGTGAGTTTTGAGTAGGTCCGGGAGGTCTTAGGCTAGAAATATCAGATGGTTGCAGGTTCAGGGAGTTGCAGGCCCCCAGCGCCCCGCGGTCGATTCCGCGCAGTCCGCGCTGGAAGCCGCGCGGCCGCGGTGCATTCCTGCGCGGTCCGTCTGGCTAGGTTCAGAGGGCCAGTGGTTCAAGTCGACCAGCGTGGCCGCGTGACTAATCAGCGCGGTCCGCGCTGGGAGATTCAGAGAGGGGTTTGGTCCATTCCTCAGCGCGGCCGCGTGCAAAATCAGTTCGCGGTCTGCGCTGGGTGGGTTAGAGAGTGTGAATTCTAGCTCCTCAGCGCGGCCGCGGTGCACTTTGTCGCGGTCCGCGCTGAGTCTTCAGAAGGGTATATAAAGTCGGGATTTTCAGTCATTTTTCACTTTTTCAAAACCCAAAACATAAGAGGCGATTTTCCAAACGATTCTACTTCTTCAAAACGATTGGTAAGTGATTTCTAACTGATTTTCTTTACTCCTTAACATCCTTAAACATAATTTCAACTTCAAAACAAAGATTTTAATGGGAAAATTGGGAATTTAGGGTAGAACCTAGGTTTTCTAAAATTTGGGGGTTTTGGACCTCAATTCGAGGTCCGATTCCAAAATAACTTACATATTTGATTTCATGGGGGAATGGGTAAACGGGTTTTGGTTCGAACCTCGGGTTTTGACCATGTGGGCCCGGAGGCATTTTTGACCTTTTGGGGTAAATTGATGAAAAAGCTATAATTAGTCATTGGGTTTGATTTGTCTAGCACTTATTGATAACATGAAGTCCTTATTGCATAGATTTGGTTGAGTTGGAGCCGAACTCGAGAGGGAAAGCGATTGTGGAGGATTGTATTGGCCGTGGAAGTTGAGGTAAGTGTTTGGTTTAACCATAGCTTGAGGGAATAGGAGTCGAGTCTTGTTTGCTAATTGCTAAATGATTGAGTACGATGTATAGGCATGGTGACGAGTTCCTATACATTGGGGTCTAGCATGACCGTGAGTCCTTATATGCGGGTTGCTTGGATATTGTTATGCCTTCCATGTCATTGATGGCTTCTATACGTGGTAAACACCTTGTGAAAGATATTGTGATTGTAGAAAATCGTGGAGCATTGGCTCGGTCTGAAATACAAATGGTGAGAGCATATGAAATGAGAAATGCCTTGGAGCTTGTCACGAGTGCTAATGAGAACTAGGATATGAAAATGAAAGAAAAAGAGAACTATCGATTTACTCTTGCATGGTTGTTATCGGTTGTTTGTGTACCCTTGTTGGAATTTCCTTCCAATTACTTGTTCACTCCTTTGCCCTTTATTTGTGACTGTTGCTTGGGCAAGGTTGAGAGGTATACATTACGGATCGGGTTGCGCGCCGAAACAATGTTATATGAGGATCGGGTTGCACGCGCGCAACAGTGATAATTATGGATCAGGTTGCACGCCGCAACAGTGATAATAATGGATCGGTTTGCACGCCGCAACAGTGATAATTGTGGATTGGGTTGCACGCCACAACAGTGATAATTGTGGATCGGGTTGCACGCCACAACAGTGATAATTGTGGATCGGGTTGCACGCGGCAACAGTGATAATTGTGGATCGGGTTACACGCCGCAACAGTGATAAATTGTGGATCGGTTGCAGGCCCCAACAGTGTTGAAATGTATTAGGGTCGGGTTGGGCGCCGCAACAGTTATTGATACAAATGTGTTTAGTGTTGGTATTAGCTTCTTGTTCGCCGGAAATTATAAATTGCACCTAGATTGATCGCTTTGGATTTACTGTTAATATTGTTATCTCCCCACAACATGTTTCCCCTCCCATACTGCTAGTTGCCTTGTACTTCGATTTTCGCTGTATATTTATAATTGCACAGGTTTATGTGGGGTCCAGTCTAGCCTCGTCACTACTTCGCCGGGGTTAGGCTAGGCACTTACCAGCACATGGGGTCGGTTGTGCTGATGCTACACTCTGTGCATTTTTGCACAGGTCCAGGTATTGAGCAGCAGCAGCAGCATTAGCACGGGGGCAAACCTTCAGTCCAGAGAGACCCGAGGTAGCTTGCAAGCGTCCGCAGGCCCGGCGTCTCCCTTTTATCTTTACATTTGGTTGTCATCTCATTGTACCCGAGATAAACAGATGATGTTCTTTCAGACTTTGTATGTAGTACTCCTTAGATGTTCGTGAGTATGTGACTCCAGTCCCGGGGTAGAGACGTATGTTGAAATTTCTGTATTTTATTCAGTTATATAAATTTAAGTCTTCCGCTAATGATTTTAATTCCGTTGCCTTTATTTAATGCCGTTAATTGTCAAAAAGGAACAGGTGCTTAATGAAATTACTAATTAAGTTGGCTTGCCTAGCTCCTATTAGTAGGCGCCATCACGACCCTCGAGGGTGGGAAATCCGGGTCGTGACAAAAATAATTTCATTTTTTTTTTTTTTGCAAACATTTATTTCATTGATTTTTATCATCTAACTTCCAAGCCAATGGTTTTTATTCTATGAAGGCAAAAATAAATGTCTTAAAGCTTAAAGAATCACCGAGTTGAGAAGTTTTATGATCATAAAATAAGTGAAGCTACTACTTTTGACTAGAACTTGTTCCAATTGTCTTTCAAAGAACACTGAGTCACACAAAAAAAATACAGAAAAAGAAGAGCATCTCTTGAAAATAGGTTTTCTTTCGCCTATCACGTAAATAGCCTTTCAGAAAACCAATCTTGATATATTGATTATTCTGGAAATACTGTGATATGAGTAGAAAACAAAAAGAGAAAAAAGAAAGAAAGAGGTGAAACAGCAAAGTTTGAACCTTTGCAAGAAAAGAAGAAAAATACAAAATACTGCAAAGGCCTATAAATTCCAAAAAGTCACCATAATATTGGTTATACCTCTTGTAAATCTTATAGCCATATTATAGGCAAATAAAAGAGCAATACATATTTAAAAATTCGGTGTTAAGAAATAAAGAATGACATGGAGCAAGTCTATAGACAAAATAAAGTGACACTCAGTTTGTATGGTCATAAAATTATCAATTCTTTATGAAGATATGAAGCTAGAGATATTGATTTTTCCCAAGCAAAGGTAAAGTCAGAAGCAAGTAAAGATTTGATAAACTTGGAAAGGTAAGTTGTTTGATTAAATGAGATATTTTATTTGCTTACATTTTTTTTTTATTTACAGAGAGTATCAATAAAAGAGGGAAGTTGTGACGACCCAAAGGGTCATCACCTGTTTCCTCATTCATTCCGCGCTTCCGAGGCCCTGAAAACCTCATTTTTTTACTTGCCTCGATTTGCGTGCGCAGTCCGGGCGCGTAGCCGGAAAGATTATATGTTAAATTCTGTGAAAAATTTCAAAATGTGGCTTTAAAATGATTAAAGTTGACTTTGGTCAACATTTTTGATAAACGGACCCGGACCCGTGATTTGACGGTCCCAGAGGGTCCGTAGAAAAATATGGGACTCGGGCATGTGCCGGGAGTCGAATTACGAGGTCTAGAGCCCGAGAAAAGAATTTTTCTGTGAAATTGTTTTTCTGAAATTATTAAGGGAAATGGAAATGGAAATTGATTAAAAGAATATTGGTATCGGGCTCGTATTTTGGTTCCGACGCCCGGTACAAGTCTTATATATGGTTTAAGCGCTTTCTGTGAAATTTGGTCGAAATCGGACGTCATTTGACGTGTTTCGGACCTAAATATCTAAAGTTTGAAGTTTATGAAGTTAGAATGAAAAATGATAATTTTTGAGGTTTGATTCATTGATTTTGAGGTTGTTTTGGCGATTTGATCGCTCGGTTAAGTTCGTAGGATGTTGTTGAGTTAGTGTG